TTGATGGAAAAGGGGTACTCCTGGGCCACACTTCAAGTCCCTGTTCAGAGCCATGATTGCAGTCTTTCTGAACCATTCATTTTCAGAATCGGAATCAGAATCAGAAATACTTTATTGATCCCCAGGGAAACATTTGTTTTTACCTCCGCTTACAATCTTAACACCACATTTTAGCTCATAACTAATCATGGATGAATGAGTGCGTTATGTTCATGAACGCTGACCACGCAGGTTGATATTGAAATAAAATATTATAGAAAAAGCAAAACTTAAATTACATATCAGCAATTTCATGGATTAAGTATTATATGTTTTTACGTTTCATTTTATAAAAATATTTTATTTGATTTTATTTGATTTAGCTGAATATTGTTACAAAGATCTTGTTCAATGAAGTAGACGTTTGTGTAATTATTTTAGAGCCAATGCTATGCAATGTTTATTCAGTGCTAGTTGGATCTGTGCCCATGTTAGCTGATCTACATAACAGCAATAAAAAATCAGCGCCGTGGATTGAGAATTGTTTGTGACGGTTGTTCTTCTTTACTCACTGCTGTGACGATGTAAGGAACCCCACTGTCATGTCAACACACCGCCATCAGAACTGAACTGTGAGTGAGTGGGAGGCGAGGAGCAGACGGGGACATTTGGTGTCTGATTTTGCAGAAGACACAAGTAAACCCCACAAGCTGCTGCTGAATGTTTGCCAGTTATACTGCATTGGCTACTGTTGAATCTTTAATAGTCTAACAGTAGTGTGATGTCATTTCCTCAGTGCTCCAGTTCACTTGCTCCTATTTTCTCCCCCCACTATATTTATCATACAATACACACATTCTCAGGAAAGGGCATTTAAGGTGGTAAAGACGGGGGGCTGTAAAGGAGGCTTAACCACTGCAGGCTGTGATTGCATCTGCGCCAGATATGGATTTAGACTCCATCATTCATCCATTCGGTATATTCCTCTCAAATTCTGTCATAGTGTAGAGGAGCAGCCATGCCTGAAGCCTTTCAAGGTGGTGCAGAAGTCATAAAGGATTCTGTCTTCACTGAATGGCAAATGATTCACCTGTTGAATTGGGAAAAATGGCTCAAATCCAATCTGATAATGGGTGTCAGAGTGCGGCTGGTTTCTCTGGTGATGGAGGTCAAAACAGGCTGAAGTCTGACCATGAGTGAAGGCACACAGGTACAGATGTCTTTTTTTAGTCCAGGCAGCAGAGCCAAAAATACATTTTTTCCACCTTACATTATAGTGGAAAATGTTTTCAGTTATATTGACGCTGAAGGAACTGTAAAGCATGTTATTCTGGGTGTGATGGAAGTTGATAAATGACTAAAACAGGAACTGGTGTTGTTGAAATGGACGAGAAAAACCATCAAACAAAAAACTGTTATCCAAATGCCTGTTAGCACTGCTCCTGTTGTCTCATTACAATCTGTTTTCCTTTGTAAAGTTTTAGCATCTTGTTGGCCCAACGGCTCATTTACCCTTCACTGATTAATTAAGGCAATTGATTGGCTGGAATAATCGCTTCGCTGGATAACCATGCCCTAATTAGGAGTTAATTGAAAAGTATCAATGACTAAAGCAGCGCCTGGGCAGATGTAGACCGGAACATTATGGAAATTGAGGAAATCTAAACAGTTTTTCTTTCATTTCTCTTACTTCCTTTTCTTTCATTCTCATTGTGCTCTATTCCAGCTGGTGGAGTGCCAGAGAAGGAAAAGGAGGATAAATTATACCCCCATGGGGCTCAGAGACCACCAATAGAAGTCCAACTTGTAGTATATTCTCAGAAAAGCAAATGAAGGCAGCTCGATCTCAGCCCTCTTGACTGATATTACTCACTGCGGTGTAGCCTATGCTGTGAATTCACCTCATAACTATGGATTCTAGTCTCTAACAAGTGGTCAAATTTATTCTGCAAATATAAACGTGAGTGAGTTCAGGAGGGTTTATCCTCCTCTACATCCCTGAACTCTCATCTTCTAACACTAGCCTTCACTCTATACTTCAGTATTATTATATACACAGTATTATTCACTGAGTTCTTCATATTTCACTAATTATTACATTTCAGGGCCACTTAATATTTCAGTTAGGAATTACAGTACATGAAACTGTTAATGCACTCGCCTCTGCAAGTATTTTAAATATCTTGTTGCCCTGCTCTTCTTCTTTCATTCTACCCTCAAGAAAAAACAAGTTTCTGCACACTAATTTCCATAAAAATCCCCCATGCCCACTGTTGGAAAATATCTCACAAGCACATTATTCAGTTTGACAACAGATTCTGATGTGTTATGTTATGGATGCACAAATCTGCTGTGAGAGATTATTTTTATTGCTCCGCATGGCAACAAAAGGAGCAACAAAAAATGTTTTAAACTTCAATACTGAGAAATCCTTTAATATGACATCAGTATGTTACACAGCACAGGTCATCTAACCGAACCTGGTCGACCTTTGATGCTTCATAACAAGGGATAGCAAAGAGACAAAAAGATTTAGGATGACATAAAAAGTATAATCATATAACAATGTATGAATGACGGTGTGATATAATGGATGATGAGAATCCTAGGACCATGATGGACTGATAAATCTACAGAGACCACCAGAAGCGCCCCAGTGGGACGCCCTCACATGGCTGGGCTGTCAGAATGTCTAACCAGTTTTTTTTCAAGTCACAAGGAATCAAACCACAAACCATTCAACACTTTAAGACCTTTAAAACCTAGAGACAGGACCCCCCAAGAGACAAAGATCGGAGTCGTGTATGACAGCACATGTGACAGCTGCGAGGGGGACTACGTGGATGAAACGGCAAAAATGAACAGAGTAGGAATGAACACTGGAAACAGACGACATCAGCTGTCTGTGAACCCCAGAATAAACTGGTCACAGCATCGACTGGGAAGGAGACCACGAGTCATTGGATTGCCGGAAAGAGCTCAAGCAGGACATCAAACATAGACAGAGACAGGTTACAGGATACAGTCCCTCCAATATATGACCAGATGCGACCAAAGTTCCATACTGAGCCATCTTCGTGACAGCTGAGCAACTCCATCCACCACTGAAGACAGTGAAATGTGATTGAAAGGTCGGGGAGAAAAAACAAGCAAGGGGAGCTTGAGTTAAAGGAATAATTGGACATTTTGGCGAAACACTTTTGCTTTCTTGGCAGGAGTTGGATGAAAAGGACAATATCACTCATATGTGTCCATAAAAATGCAGCTAAAGCCAGGAGACACTTAGTTTAGCCAGAAGAGTGTGGGAATGTGAAAAATGATTAGGTCACACACTCTAACTGACACCCGCGTGTTCTGCCAATCCACTCTAAGGGAAACAAATCTGTTATCTCAATCTGTTAACTGCTCTCCCAGTTAAACTTTCGTTCATAAAAAAATCAGGCTACACTTGTTATTTCACTGTGTCAGGTACATATTTAAACAACATTTAGGTAAATATAAGGCTTGGATTTGGATCAGGGCCAAATAAAACTCAATCTCTAGAAATATTCCCCTTACAACAGCAACAACAGTTGTTTTTCCACTTCTGTTTTTGCATGAATTGAACAAAAGAGATATAAGGTGATAATTAGTGAGCTTTAGAGGTCTTCAGTCTTTATGCTAAGCTAAGCTAACAGCCTGCAGCTTCATATAGAGTGGTATTGATAGTTTTAACCATCTCTGCAAGAAAATGAATGAGTGTATTTCCCAAAATGTTGAACTATTCCTTTAAGTTTTCTTTACCTTTTTTTTTTTTCTAACAGATCTAACATTTCTGCTTTCTGTGGATGATACGCCCGCTCAATGCTGCATACAAAATGAAAATAACTCCTAGTTTTGGTGCTGACATGATCATACCTGACAAGATAACTTCATTTGTACAAACCAGTGTCTCAAATAATGGGACTAGGACTGCTGTAACCCTGCTTTGAGTTTTAATGTGATTCAGGTGTATCTTTAGATGCAAATTTCACATAGTGCAGCTCAGTGCGTGGGATGCAAACGGAGTCGTGGGCATTTGAGGGAGCCGTTAAGCTGCTGGGAATCAATCATAATGGAGCACATTTAAGAAGTAAGAAAAGTTAGTAATGGATCCACTGCAAGGCAATCACCCCCTCTTATTCTCCGTCTCCTCCTCACTTTATTTTTCCGCCCACACAAACATGGGGCTGCCGGCGCAGCATGACACCTGTGGAAATTGGCAGGGCTGAGCCAAAGTTACTGAAATGAACCAGAGAGCCGTGACACACTGTGTGTGTCAGTCTGTATGATGTAACAACGTGTAAACACTGGAGGCCATTTAGGGAAGCTCCTGGTGAGAGAGAAGGGGGCCAACCTCAGAGCAGCTTAGTCAGTGTAGATTTCATGGGGATACTAAAAGAGGATATTAACTTCCATCTATCAGCTGACATCACCTCTGCTCTGTCCGGATGATTCAACCCCTGATCAGGAGGAGAGGAGCAGTGGCGAGGAGCTGCAGCTCTCAGAGAAAGCAAAATCCTGTCAGTCATGAGCGCAGTCTCACCATTCATCACACTGCTCCACCATCAATTACATCAAAGCCCCCTTACTCTCATTAGAAAGGGATACCACGTGAGTATTCAGCCTTCAAAGGGTACAACTGCAAATGGCCTGAACAGACTAACTGAAATAAGACTACAAACCTTGTTGGTCTAATAAGATGGATAGACATGCACTGACTGAATGACAGGTTGATTTATTCTGTGCACAGACCTAAACTCTTTTTCATTTAATACATGGCTGCAAGAAAAACACAAGCTCCAGGGGTGTTCAGACACATATCAAAGAAAACACACATTTGCATTAGTTGGCATATCATCAGCATCAGCCTCGCAGGCTGCGTGCTGCTTTGTTTAATTCCTCCTCTGCATGTGAGCAGATGGCATCACCTATGCCGTCCTCTCCACAGCCCCTGTTGGTGCCCTCTCTAAATAAAACAAAGAGAATGAATCTACACCTACCGTTCCCAGAGATGTGGTTCTCTATCTCGCCGTGTCCAGCTTGCCTTGTGCAGACACTAAGTTGCATGTAGAGTCCCATGTAATGTAAACTCCCCAGCAGCACCCTGAACGCTCCCATTTCTCTTCTGTTTTATCTGCTCTCCTTTCCTCTCTTGATTTATTCACATCGGGTGGAGTGCACGTCGGAAAAGATTGTTTTTTTTCTCTTTCTTTCTTTTCTTTCTTTGTTTTTTTTTTGTTTCTTAAAATCCAGGTGACTTGCTGTGGCGATGAAGGGAGTGAGATACCTGGGAGAAATAAAGAACCGAAGACGCGGCTGCAGCCTCCGACTATGGCAGCAGACTGACTGAGGCTCTGCTTCCGTTCAGTCGGATCTACATGCGGCGGAGGGACACTTCTCCCAAATGGGAAGTGCCGCGGCTCGCATTGGGGAATATCAGTGAGGTGTGATATGAAAAGCACATTCAGCAAACTTTATGACGTTTAATTTCTCGCTTTTTGAACTAACATGATATTGTTATGATGATGTTGTGTTTCTGTTAATTAAATAATAAAGGCAGAAACTGACAATCATACACAGAGTGCTGCATCATTGGCTAAACAAAGCATTTGATAACCGGGTGAGCAAACAGTCTGCCTCCCATATCAGTGACCACAGGTAGTACTTATTGTTTATTTGTTAATTAATTAATTATGACATTTCTTCAAGTAAAAATAAATAAAACTAAAAATGTTTAAAGAAATTACTTTTGTTCCTGGCTGGTAGGACTCTAAAGGGCTGGATACAGCCTGTACCTTCCTTTGTTTTACTTAAAGAAAAACTTCTTTCTGATTTAGTTTTTTTTTCTAGCAGTGGGATCTTAAATAAACACACTTACTGCCAACAGTCTTAGTTCTTTCACATTAGAGATTTTTGTTTTTCTTCCTGTCTTGTGCTCTTTTTACTGGTTCAAAGTGGGCCAGTAACCAGGCTTTGGAGCTAATTTGACATAGCGGCATGACAATGTCCTGAACTACGTTTCCCTATAAGCTTACATTGCGAAAGAAGTGGTTGTAAAATTGTGGATAAATTTTTCTGAGCAACAGAAAACGTTAGCGGAGGGCTAAACTGTAAGTTAGCTGGCTCGGCTGGTGGAAGTCCTCTATGTATACATTCATCCGGCGAGGAATAGCATTTTTGTTCATTCTAAGGTAACACAGTAAATGTGTTTTACTTTTACTTTGATTGTTACTTATTAAGTCAGACATTGCCATTCACAAGACCAGTGTGGAAGATTTAGTGGCATGTAGTAGAAAAACAATTCATTTAGGTAAAAACCTCCACAACAGTTCAGGTTCACATACCTATGAATATTATATTCCATTACTGCCAAGAGGTCCTACATGTTACACTATGGACCTTTAATGATATGGAGAAATATGAATATGAAGTTTTCCCTTCAGCTACATCAGCGTATAGCTTTGCCTGTGTCAGGGAGGCAGTACAGTACTGTAGGCTTGGTGTGTTGCTGTCCATGGTGCTGAATGCAGCCTCAGTGTTGGTCACATATTGATCAGTAGAAGGTAACATTTCCAGTGACAAGCGGCACTCTGAGATGGGCTATTGCACTTTATGTAAGTGCTTGTATAGTCTTCATTGATCTTAAGCACCTTTTCCACAACAGGGAAGCATAGCCAGCAGGTATTTTGTCCACCTTGTTAGGCAAAATGATATACCGTGTGTCCCATTTATTTCAAGGAAACAAGCCAGAGAAAGCATGCTTAATACCTCTGCTAACAGGATCTCTGAATTAAATGTTTCTATAAATAGACGTATACACAAATAACTTCTCTATGATATTCTACATATAGAACATTCAATCTGAGATTGGTTTGTTTTGATCATTTCTGTCTAATATTAATTTATTGTTTTCATTAGAATATAAAACATGTTAGGATTAATATTATTTTCATTACAAACCAAAAGAAAAATGTGTGATTTATAATATTTGTGTTTTTGTGTGGGTATGATTAACACATAACTATATTTTAATCAACCTGTTCTTAAAAACAGTTCTGATTGTAATCTTTGTTCAGGGCGGGGACTCAAAGTCAAATTGGCTTACCACTGCTGGTACTTCAACAACTTTAACATTCTAGTAGTACAAAGTGCAATATTCTGAATATATTTTCATTTCTAAGATCATACTTAACAAAAAATGCGAACAGCAGTCTTTATATATTTTTATATAATCATTTTATATAATCATTGTGTTTGCAATCAAACAACAAATGAAAGCCCAAAAACCTGCTGTCTTATCATCAACCATGGCATGTAGTGTCTGCAGGTATCTTTGACCTTTGCAATTACTTTGTGACAAACAAAATACATTTTAAAAATGGAATTATGTTTTTAATTATTTATGAAGGTATCATTTAAATTGGTATGGAACAACTAGAAAAAATCCATGAAATAATCTTGCGAGCTGGACTAATTACATTTTTGACATCGTGTCAGAAATGGCCCTCAGGCAGCAGGTTTACGGTGTGTTTTTCTTGAAAGTTTCCTGTCCATTAACACCAATTTTGTTCGTTTTTTTCTCTTTTTTTCATAATCATCTATATCATCTATAGCTCATTCATCAGGAGCTCTTCAGATATTTACAATATATGGCACAAAGCTGCCTGATTCTCTCAAATCTTTTAACAGAATCATGCTCCACCTCACTGGACCTTTGCTTTGTAGAGCAAATCCAGTTCCAGCGGTGAACTTTGTGGATTCTTTTTTTAAACAGAGCCAGGGAACTAGCTGTAACTCATATCTGAATGTCAAAACACTGATTGGATTACCTGACTCCAATTACCCTCTTTAATAAAAGTCATTATCACAGATGTTCATGTGCTTTTTTCAGTCCAAGACACGGCCTTACACAAAAAGATGAGATTGAAATGAAGATTGCCCAAACTCTTCCTACAACTTTACGTAACGGTCAACAACACTAATAGAAACAACACAAAGGGATTGGAGAACGGAAAAAGGGATAATGTAGTTAAGATTTTGTTTCTATTGAGGGCTGTGATGCTGGTCAGTTTACCTCTGAGGTGTCATTAGGCCCCATTTACTGAGGCATGTGCCTTTGTAATATTTTGCCATGCCCCAATAAAACAATCATGGGAAATGGATGTGTTTTGGCAGTGTCCAATATCATGTAGGAAGTGAGAGGCCAATTTGGTGGAGATAACTTATACAGCAGCTGCGCTCAGGCCCTGTGCTGACCGCTGCTGCAGCCTCACAGTTGGACTACGGCAGCAATTAACAGCTTTGTTTTCAGCCCATGAGTGATGGCAGCTTTATGTGAACTCATACAATTGTAAAGGAATAAAGGAAAATTCTTAATTTCCGCTCTCAACGTTGCTCCTATCTGCATGTACACAGGCACCAACCAACCAACCATGACATTTAGATTTCATCGTTCCAGGAGATCCTGCTGTTCCAAAAAAACAATCTGCCTCTTCCTCTAGAATCAACTTCCTACTGCAATTAAATAAGTTCAAATTCAAATCCCATCAATTGCTGTCATTCGACCAACCCAAGCATGTCTGTTCGGGTTTCATACTTTCTCTTGCTATACTTTAAGCAGCTATTAATATGGGAAAAGGCGGTTGGAAGCCAGTCTTACCCTGTCAGCATCATTACACTGAGTGAGTGTCTGCTGTCTGTATGTTCATGGCCAAATATGTCAGCTCCAAGTCTGCTGGTCGGGTTGAGCACAGACACCTGTCACATACAGTGATCTCACTTGGCAGTGGACACAGGTGGGAGACCGTGCCGCTTTCAGTTTTCCTAACAGGGGATTCCCACCAGCTTGATTGCGGAGATTATTCTCACTTTTTTTTTTTTTTTTTTTTTAATATAAGATTTTCTTGCTTTGTTTACCTCACTTTCACCGAGGGTGTAAGTGTTGAGAGACACTAGTTCTTGTAACAGCAAAATGTCCGCCCCAAATACTTCAGTTGCAGTGGAATAGCAGCAATTAGCCGACAACTTTGGTGAAGTTTGACAAATTGCAGGCTGTCTGCTCACTTTATAGGGAATGGAGATCCTGGGAGTAATAAATGGAGGAAGGTAGCATATTAGCTGTCACACCAATTGTATATTCCTCTGCTTGTCAGAACTGCTCCACAAAAGAGGTGCGGCATGGTTAGCAGTTAGTGCGACAGCTGTTGATGTTAAAAGTACATCTCTTGAATAAACGTTGTTAAATTATTGCTTGTTTATCAAAGGAGCCAGCTTGCAGTAAGCCAAATAGCTGGTTTTTATAAGCTAGCATGGCAGACTTTTATGGCTGGTCAGTGCTAGCACGTTACTGGCGTGCTACTATGTTTTTTATTAAGCAACAGTAGCAATATGCTATGAAGCTCCCAGCAGCACCTCTTATGGGAGGATGCACAAATTAATTTTGCTATTCTGCTGCCTGGTGTGAACGGGCCACGGAGATAGGCTAGGAGGGCGTTTTATGAAGCTCCAATATGCCGTCGTTTTGTATCTCGTTTCTTCTGTTTTATGAAAGATGTTAGGATAAAGGTTGGATGATGGCGCTATACGAAAAGATTACAATTCATCAGAGAGTGACATGAAAACCTTTATCACATTTCAGAGTAATCCATCAAATTTGGTCAGTCTGGACCGAAGTGAATGACAGACTGACAGATCGAAAATGCCGTTCATAGCCAACGCTGCTCACATGGCTAAAATCAAGAAATGTATCTCAGCTCCACAGTCACTGACACCCAAATAAAGATGTCACTGCTGATTTTCAGGTCCTGGAGGCCCGTACACAGCAAAGCTTTAAGTTGCAATGCCGCTGTTTTACACACTTTATCAATCCCTGTGGTTATCCTCAGTAACAGAATATCTTCTCCTCTCAGTCCCTACTAAAAGTGAGGAGCCCAAAAGCACAGCGGTGCAGTGTTTGCACTCAGTCATTCGGAAAATACAATTATTCTCCTCTCCCTCGGCTGTGAAATTGCTGTACAACCGCTGTTAAACACGCCGCAGTCATAATCACTGATAAGAGATGCATGGGGCCGGGCCTCCTCTGCCAATACAATATGCAAACGACGCCCCGCCGTTCTACCCATCTTGTTACTGAGCAACATTAGAGTTCGTGAAGATACTTTGGAAAGGCAACAGATGTGACAGCTGTCAGTGATCGGCCCCCCGTTCCCTCCCTGCTGCTTCCTGTCAGGGTTATGGTCAAGGATCCAGAGAGGGCTTGGTACACTAAATGAGTGATTAATAATACGGGAATATAATATAGACAAGACACTAATAAAAATAGATGCTACGTCTGGTTCATGTGCAAGCTGCCTATTCACAAAAG